GGTAAGATCACCTCTCAGTTTCAGAAATAAAACCAACTGGTTATAGCGGGAAGGGGGAGGGGGGCTGAGGGGGCCAAAAAGTGAGGAGAGGCATATCAGCCTAAGCTAGAATCAATTTCCGAGACCCCAGAGTTCATTTCATCAATCAGAGCACAGGAAGAGATGCACACACAGTGGCTCGGCTCGCCCCCACCACCAGCCTCTAATGCCCACTTCGGCCTGTCCTCCTGTCTTTTCTGCGTGGGTATAAATGGACCGAGGGTCGCAGCTCTTCAGCTGTCATCCATGTTCCATGTAGAACATCAAAGCAGTGACGCCAGTTAACAACCAGCTTTGTCTTCATGTAATGGAAAAAAWKKTTTKKTTTTTTCTTTTTCCTTCCCACGATTTATTCACTACAGACAAACAATAAAACTAAAATAATTGTTTGGTGTCTGCAGCAGCTCCATTTTACAGAGTGAGAGGTGGTTTGCTAAAAGCAGCCGAATGTCATCATCACACATGTTGGATTAAACCGAACGGACCGAGTTGACTTCCTCTGCTTTTCTAACTGAGGCTTCTTCAGGTGACTTCCACGGTGCATTTGTCTTATAACGTACAGGAAGAATGGAAGCAAGTTTTTATAGGAACTCGAACAAAGAGGGGACCTCTGCACTTTTTCTCTGATTTAAATGTAAAAACTGGTTTCAGCTACCATATTGAAAAAGCACGTATACKTTAGAAACGCATCAAAGTGCTCAGATCTCAAGAAGAGTTCCGTGGCAAGGTTTTCAACAATAGCTAGCTCTTTGAACAAACTCAGAGTAAACAGAGTTTAACTCTGACCAGACTGATGGGTGTTATTTGCTTYGGAATCAAACAAAGGACTCAACGATTGACATCTGGGGAGAATTCATTAAGACAATAATTATGGCGTCACGTAGTTTGGACCAGTGGTGCCCCGTCCCGGTCCTTGAGAGCCAGCATCCTTGCATGTTTGAGTTGTTTTCCCACTCCAGCACACCTAATTCAGTGATTGAATTGCCTCTTCGGTGTGTCCTCAAGTTCTACAGAAGCTTATTAATCACCCATTCTTTCAACTAGATGTGCTGAAGCAGAGAATTGTCCAAAAACAAGCAGGATAGTGGCTCTTAAGGATGAGGAACAGACACCATGGGTTTATTTTTTTGTTAGTAATTGGATATTTATCAGCTAAACATAATACTGGGTATGCACCGGTACTTAAAGGGTACTTACATACCAAGTGCCAAGTATTTATCTGATGTATATCTTGTACTTACCTGTTTTATGGAGTATGTATTGAGTACTCACTTGGTACTTATAGGGTACTTATCTGTTGCATCTATGGTATATACCCTTTAAGTACCCGTGATGCAACAAGTAAGTACCCTAAAAGTACCATGGCACATTCCCTGTATTTACCTTGTACCTACCTGATGTATATCTTGTACTTGTACTGATTTATGGAATATGTATTGAGTACTTACCTGGTACTTATAGGGTACTTATATGTTGCATCTATTTTACATACCCCTTAAATACCAGTGATGCAACAAGTAAGTTACCTTAAAGTACCATGGTACATTCCCTGTATTTACCTTGTACCTATCTGATGTATATCTTGTACTCGTGTACTGATTTATGGAGTATGTATTGAGTACTTACCTGGTACTTATAGGGTACTTATCTGTTGCATCTCTGGTACTTAAGGGGTATGTACTGGCTGCGTATCCAGGTATGTACTGGGTACATATTGGGTTATATCATGTGTTGCTACATAATATTTTTATGTAAAACAGTACACGCGTCAGTGTCAGAATTTCTGCTTTGTCATTGTATAAAAATATAAAATCCACTGTAAATTCTAATATAAAGGTTTGTTTGACCTTGTGTACTCCTGCGTATTCTCCCCTCAGTGTGTGTTCTTACCTCATGAAGTTCCTGACCTTATCCCTAGTCCTGCCGGGTGATTTTTTTCTACCCCATTTTTGTAACCTTTTCGAAATTTCTCCTGTATGTGGAGGAGAGAGGAAAAAAAAGGCAAGAGACTCCTCTGCTAGTCCATCAGTGTTGACCCTGAAGAACCATTATGTCAGTGTTCTAAGACGCAAGGAAAGAAAATGTTGAAGTTGTGAACAAAAGAAAAAGGGAGAAAAAAATGTCAGCGCCTGAAGAAAAAAGGAGCGCCTTAATTGAGAGTAAATCAACCTCTGCTTCTAGCTGAATGTCAAAAGGTGTGATTGGAGATTGGGTGCAGATAATGAATAATTACTTCAAAGTTGGTAGACTCACCGTGCGTGTGTAGTTGGTTTACTGTGCTGCCTCTCTGTATTGGCAGGTGCAGAGACGTGTGTGCTCACTCTTGCATCAGACTTGCACATTGTGTGTGTGAAGAGTCTGCTTTGAGTGGTGGGGAAAAAAAACAGCTGGTGCACTATGAATTTCAATAAAATTAGTCCTGTGTCTCCTCTTTCTGTTACATTGGGTCTTAACAAACAGCTATAATGTAACTGGGGATTTCTGTGCACTTATCCTTAATAATAACATATTTTAATAATACACAGTTTATCCGAAGCACACAGTTTTTTATCCTCTTTAGCTTAATCCCCATTTTCTTTGAGTGACCATTTTTTATTCCTTCTCATAATCTGTTGGTCAACAATGTGTTTTTAATGAAAAAAGGCACAGTTTTGTAGCACTCATAGTTTTTAAAGCATCTTCAGGGATAAAATTACCAAACTGGCTTATGTGGAGCTCCAAAGAGAGTTCAAAACACAAACATCCAGTGAATGTCATGTTTTTTGTGATGTGAAGAGTCCATTATAGATTATTTCAAAACTTTTTCCCACCGTTAGTGAGGCACCGACTCCCTCGCAACCCAGAAACAAAAAGTGGGCAAAGAAAATGCTTCCTTCTGCAGGGATTGCCACAGTGAACCAACTCACATGAAAGGTTTGACAATTTTATTCCAAATACTCTTCCAGACGCAACCTGGGTTCGAAACAGTTCCCAGTCAGTACTTGTCAGAGGTTCTTGCAGCTCCTTCATTKTTGCTGTGGAGGCCTCAATCCAAAGCCGGACAGTCGACTCGCAGTTACGTGGTCGATGTTTGTTTTCGCACACATGTTTCACAGCCCCTGAGACACACCATGCCTGCTGCGGTATACACTGCACAGGGTTCCTTCCCACTGGAGGCCACACTGCTGGGGGGAACAAATAACTCTGGTATCCGTCATTATTCGTCCACATACCTGTCACGTTTAAAGCTCCACACTTTTCTGCCGACAAAGTCCAAAACTTCTGTTTTAACTCCATCCAAGAGTTTTTGGCCATTTGACTGTCTTCATAAATGACTACTTTTAGGCAATAGTTGAATTTCAGAAGGGATTAGTTGAAGCTAAAGTAGTAGTCTGAGCGCTTTCAGCATAAACAAATGCCCCTGTCCAGCTGTGACCTTGCAAGGGGTGGGGGATGCCTTGGACGGGTTGCAAGTCCATCAAAGGACCACAAACAACCACTCACAACTAAGGACAATTTAGAGTTGCCAAATAGTCTTAACGTTTTTGAAAGGTTATTTAGGAGAACTTAGGTGAGGTTGGATTTCTTTTGTTCTGTTCTTAACGACAACAGTTTGTTGAAACATTGGTTCTTCAGTGGAAATATAATAGTGCTTAAAACTTGTAAGTTAATAAGATTTTTATGCTAGACAAATGTAGTAATTATTGAACAGTGACTAAAAGTGAAAATAAGGAAATTCTAAAATGTTGATGTTTCTTTACTTATTTTATAGCATTGTTAATGGGTTTGCAARGGGAGGGGCCCCCAGCCAGAAGCTATTGCTGTTTGTGGGGCCATGACATGGAAAACATTGGGAACCTCAGCCTTGGAAGACTGAATGCTGGACTTAAATAATAAAAAATACAAGTTATGTAGTCATTTTGCTTTTATTTAGTTTTCCCTCAAACTCTTTTGTTAGTTTCTACCATCAAATTGTACAGAACACGTGACATTAAAATTCTGGAACGCTTTGTCTCATTTTCTTATGCTACAAAAATCTAGTTCTTCAAACAGGAGGGTAAATACTCTAGTCAGTGGGTAGAAATGTTTCTATTATCACCAACAGGTCAGACKTGTAATAATACCAACTTTGACCACCCGCTGTACTTTTAATAGTGTGGAAATAACTTGTCTTATTTTCCAGGGGCGTTCAGGCTCCGTTTGCTCTTCGAGGTGGTGGTGTTACAAGAATTGAATTGCTTCGCTTGACCAATTAGTATTCCCTTCATAAATCTTGCCATTGGCATTTCTAAATCTTTAATGGCTCTTAATTTTTCATCTTGTCTTGAAGACGTTCGTTTTTTTTCTTCCTTCCTTCCTTTTTTTTAATCCGTCCTTCCTTCGGCGCTTCGACACTGTTGCAGGGAGATTAAAGAAGGCGTAATAGTCTTTCAATGCTATCATTATTTTTATGCAGGGGAGATCGGAACTAAATGGTTGTGGATGGTAGCTACCAGCAAATACCTTTTACACCCACAGGAATGTCTCGCTGTTGTGTGTTAGGGCTTGTCAGCATGTAGGATCATTTATCACACCAATTAAAGACTTTAGCCTCAAGTCATGCAACAACTGGCCTCTAGTCCTGTAAGCATTAGCCGTGATTCATTTTACGTGATTAATTTTTCCTCTAGATGAAAAKGAAATGACCGAAAAAACAAGATGAGTAATTCTACTGCTTCTTGTTGACCATCTGTATTCAGAAACATACCTTGAATAAATTGGGAATAGTTTTAAAAAACTACTCTGTAGATTGAATWCAGCAAAGGAAAAATTGTTTATCTTCTCTATGTTGTCCCACAGGATTGTGGGATTTGTAGTTTCAGTGCTGAACTCTGATCTCCCTCAACGCCTACCATTTACCATATCACCATGTCAAAAAGTTGCATTCCTGAGCCACTTTAATTTTTCTCCTCCTTAATAAATCAATCATTTGGACTCCCCAGGCCATGGTGGAGACGGTCAACAACTTGCTGCAGCCACAGGCCCAGGCGGCGTGGAGGGAGCTGAGCCCCAGCGAGCAGCTGAGGGCCGCCACCATGTTGCTGGACACGGTGGAGCAGGGCGCCTTCGTTCTGGCTGACAACCTGCTAAAAACCGACATTGTGCAAGAGAACACCGACAACATCCGTAAGTAGAATATAGGATGTTTAAGTTCTGTACAATTGCATTCAAACACCACTTACACCTAAACTATACTGTATACATTTTGGTATGTTTTATTTAAAGGATTTGTAATTTCCAYATATTGAAGTGAGATTAATCAGCATGGTAATGTGTTGACTCATTATATTGGCAATAGCACTCAATCGAAAAATATCACAAATACTGACTTAAGTTTCCTTTAAACCATTCCTACCATATTCTTGTTTCACATAGAGCAGTTTGAGCTCTGAGTTTATCAATTAATTAGGCTCATTAAAATTCACAAGTACTCGTAACTGTAAAAACAGTATTGTTAATTTATTCTTCAGCTCTGGTAATTGTCTTCTGTTCACAGACTCWGTTTCAAGATCATGTTTAGGAAACAGACAACAAACCAAAATGAGGCAAACTTTCTTTTTTTTTTAACAGGCAGATACGATGACTTTAGAGCAGAAGCCATACGCCTCAGAGTTTTCTGGATTTTAGTGTGAAAACTTGATTTGGAATGAGTTTTGTGATTAAAATTATCATTGTGTTTTGTTAAAGTTGGGTTTCTTGGAGGAGACGGGGCAGCCAGTAGTTTCTTTACAAAGCAAGTCAGCCCTGAGGTATCTTCATCTTTTTTATGAAAAAAACTGAAGTTGCCAAAATTACCGCAGGATTTAAAMAATATATATTGGGCTCAAATTCTTTGCATAGTGATCCAGGTCTTCATTGCAAAGTCATATTTCTTTTGCCATGTCAAATTAATTTGTATAAGCTCACATCATCGMGGGATGTACAACCCGGACTCCAATGAAAGTACTCGTAACTGTAAACTGTACTCGGGGTTGTGTGAAAAACAAATAAAATCTGACTACAATGATTTGCCAATCGTTTTCAACTTAGACAGGATATTTAATGTTCACATGGATAAACTTTTTTGTTTTTTTTTTGTTTTTTTGCAATTTTTTACTCATTCCTTGAAGTTGTATATTAAGAAATAGTGTACTTAAACAGTTGGACTATTTGCTCATGCCGTTGTTCACAAATTAGTGAACCTCGCCCCATCCTTGCTTGTGAATGACTGAGCCTTTCGGRGATGCTCCCTTTAAAAACCAATAAATTTTATCCGTTTGAACATGAAATATCTTGTCTTTACAGTGTATTCAATTGAACATTATGTTTCACACAACGTCCCAAGTTCATTGGAACTGGGGTTGCAGTTATATCTATAGTATGTATACTCCCAGAGGCAGCTTAAAAACAGGCTGATCTTCATTACAAAACCATTTAATAAATAAAAAATGCAGACTGGTGTTACCTGCTGTGGACAATGATCACCAATGTGTACAATACCAGAATCTCACAATTCTAGGCTATTGTATTCCAAGTGTCAATAATAGTGCCTGAGAGCCTCAAACAAGCTGTGAGCGTCATGATGACAGAACAGAAAGAGAGAAATAGGCAAATATTGGATTCATCTGGACCGATATTGTGAACTCCGTACCCGACAGTATTGTATCGTTTTACCTAAATTTGGTCAGCCCTTCTATGCATACATGTAAACAGCATCCAAATTAGAAAACAAGCTATTTAAGTTGYGTACTAGACCTTACTCGTACACATTGTGACAAATTAATCTCTCTATACACAAGTGGTGCGCCAGGTAACACTACCGGGAGACACATTTTTCATTTTACAAATTAATGTCAAAAAGTCCTTGTACGGAAAAAAATTAAAAATGTAGGAGGACAAGAYGGCTTTTTTTTAACTTACTTGTTGGAGAGAAAAAAATCAACACATTGTATTTCAGCAGACAAATTGCATTTAATTTAGACATCTTCGTTCGCAGGTGTGAACCTTCTTAGAACAAATGACTCAAGCAGCACGGGAAAAGAATAAATAAGGACTTTTAGCTCTGCTGGATGGACTCGGCTTTGCCAATTATGACAGTTAGACAATTATAAGACTGATTTAAATGACTGGATGTTGTGTTTTTGGCGTTGCATTTCTTTGTGTGTGTGTGTTTTCCTTTGTGTGCCTGAAGCATCTGTGCCTTTAGTGCTGCTGCTTGTTGTACAGAAGCCGCGAGTTTTTACCACACATTTATCGATCCGCGGTGCTCTCTTATCGACAGCAAAGCATTCGAGGCACTGGATCAAGTGTGAAGGTCACCGGAGAGACGCTTCCCTCTCCTCCTCTCTCTGGAGGTCAGGTTTAGCAGGACTGCTAAGGGCTGATAAAAGTCAGCTGTAAATTGACATTTATCTCGTGGCTGTGTTTAAATGCGTTGGTCAGAATTAACCACTCGTGCAGTTCAGGGATCAGTGCTCATTTTTTCAGCGTATAAATACACAAGTGAGGCCCGGATAACAAAACTCCTGTCATGACTGCTCTCCCGAGTGGGGATAAATCAAACCTGGACACATCGATTGTTTTGTGTTGGTTTTTAAATTTGAATTATGGCTGCCATTTACAAAAAAAAAAAAGAATCATAATATGTTTTTCTCCCAGATGGAAACCAGTGGCGCAAGGGAATAACAAAATAAATAAAAATAAAGTCCTGATGTATAACCGTCTCGTATAATGTGGGATTTTTTTCCCCTGCTTCTATGTCTCGCTGCCATAGCAACCTAAAAATATAGGTCTACTTATTTAAAAGGAAGGGAGCGTTAGGAGAATTAATAAAAAGGGGTTTTATTGTATCTGGCACACAATTCATCTGGGTATTAAGGAGATTCTGAGCTCGTTTAGAGAGGGGGAATGAGACGATGCCTGCTCAGCCCAACTTGAGATTTTATAGCACATTGTGGTAGCCTGGTTAATTATGTGTTGGTGACATGTTTACTAGGCCTTATCTTTCTGTTTGCTTGGCTTCTTTTTATTTTATTTTTATTTTTTCCAGCCAGTTGGCTCCGGTAATCCCTCATGTTAGCAGGGTTGTTAAATGAGAGCGGAGAGGCTGTTTTAATGATTGGTAATCAGTACAGCAGCTAATGATTGATTGTTTGCTTTGAATTACGAATGTGAAGGGTTTATTGTGGGCAGATTCATGTGTTTTTCATGATAAGATTGGCTGTTTTTATGATTTGAAGTAAATCCTGGGCTCTGTCTTCACTATTTCATATTTTTTTAAATAATCAATGTTTATTTTTTTGAGCGCTATAAACAGATCTGTTCAGACATTTCTAACAAAAATAATGAAATATTCATAAAGTACAATAAACCTAAAGCTGTTCTGTAGTGGTTTTTTTTTTTTTGCTAAGCTAAAAAGTTTTTTTCTGTATATAAATATGTTGTAACATAGAGTTAAATGCCACTATCCCTTCCACTTCAAAATCTGTGACAAAGATGGCGTCCAAACAGGGCAACAGCTCAATGTCGACAAAACAAGTATTTGATTAATAGTGTCACAAATTATTAATATTTTTGTTTTTACAAATGTAATTGTTAATTTTAATAATTTTACTTAACACTCATGTAAAACAGCTGATAATATATGGATAATACACAAATAAAGATGACCTTAACTAGACCTGATGTTAATAACTTATACTTTTCAGCTAGTTGAAAAATGATGACTTCAACTAATAAAGTAAATTTATTATTTCTTACTGGCATAAATAATAATAACAAATATTAACCTGTCAATGCTTTGACTTTAAACTGTAAATATCACATAAATTTGAGGCACAACTAGCTTGAAATGTTTGATTATTTGTGCAATATGCTACATAAGCTAGTATCTGCTAATCAATTCAATGCTCAACGGTGATTACAACAGCTTTATAAAATTGACATCATTAACTTCAGTTCTGGTAAGATCACATCACATTGAGGTAAATAAAATAAAATCTGCTTGTGAAATGAGACACATTTCCATCTTTCTTTTCTGTTGGTACATTCATAACACAGTTTTCTGGGATTAGATTGCTTATATAGACTTTATAATATTATCATTCATATTATCATTAACAGTTTTTGTAATTTTTACATACTCAGCCTTTATTGTTCGGATTTTGCCAATATGTTCAGTGATGCTAAATCCACGCATGGACCTGGTTTATTTATGTTATACTACAGCAGATCACATTGTCTCATGACCAAAACTCCATCTGTATTATAGAACCTCTTTGTGTTGTAATGTTATTGTTCTCGCTGCCTAATGATGTGTCAATAGTTTGTTTAAAATTCTCTTTGTTATCTGGGTGATTTTGTTTTCTAAGTAGAGAAAAAAAGTATTTGAATAAAAATCCCAAGTAGTACGTAGACAGGGCCGTAAACCAAAAAGCTTCTTTACATATTTAGACTTGATGAGATGTTTTTTTCCTGCTTCCAGTGGAGGATATTTCTTCATCCTTTGTGTCTAGTGTTTACACTTTCACGTTGCATGTGTTCGTCTCAGTCTTTGTCTGAGGGAGAGTTTGCATCACTCTCTCTGTGATAATCTCATGAACAGATTTCTGCCGATTAGCTATTTTATTCAAACCCGCTTTGAAGGTATAGCCTTTGGGCCCAACAACTCCTATGGCATCAAAGAAATTCCCCAAAGCCCATCGTAAGCTCTTTTACACAGCCACACAGGGAAAAGAGAGTAAAGAGGGAGAAGAAAAATGCTTCCTTTATTCAAAAGGCAGGCTCAGAATCCAGGGAATGGTGTGCTATCTGGGGTATTGTCTTAGCTAAGTTGAATACGTATGTATCAAAAAAAATGGCCTTTACAAAACCACAAGAGACTACTAATACAAAAGATTTTTTCAAGAGACACTATGGGAAATCTTGGTATAAAAACAGACACAAAGGGAGGATTAAATATGCCCTCTCTGCAGCTTTCTGTTGGCACTAACCTTTATCAAAGTCAGTGTGTCACAGTGGCATCAGAACATGAATGGAATTCGTTATCGGATTTAATTAAGTTTCTGTTTCTTACACTTGTTCAGGTTGCATTTCAAAATGAGAGGCTCCACTTCAGACTAATCTGCCGGCCAGCTTAAGTGCAGCTG